GACGGTGGTGGTGATGACGGTGGTGATGATGACGGTGGTGATGATGATGGTGGTGGTGATGACGGTGGTGATGATGACGGTGGTGATGACGGTGGTGGTGATGACGGTGGTGATGATGACCGTGGTGGTGATGACGGTGGTGGTGGTGATGACGGTGGTGGTGGTGGTGATGACGGTGGTGGTGATGACGGTGATGATGATGACGACGGTGGTAGTGCTGATGATGATGATGGTGATGATGATGACGGTGGTGGTGATGACGGTGGTGATGACGGTGATGATGATGACGGTGGTGGTGGTGATGACGGTGATGATGATGACAGCGGTGGTGATGATGATGACAGCGGTGGTGGTGATGGTGGTGATGACGGTGATGACGATGACAGCGGTGGTAGTGGTGATGATGATGACGGTGATGATGATGACGGTGGTGGTGGTGATGACGGTGATGATGACGACGGTGGTGATGATGATGACGGTGGTGGTGATGACGGTGGTGGTGATGACGGTGGTGATGATGATGGTGGTGATGATGATGGTGGTGATGATGATGGTGGTGGTGATGACGGTGGTGATGATGACGGTGGTGGTGATGACGGTGGTGATGATGACGGTGGTGATGATGATGGTGGTGGTGATGACGGTGGTGATGATGACGGTGGTGATGACGGTGGTGGTGATGACGGTGGTGATGATGACCGTGGTGGTGATGACGGTGGTGGTGGTGGTGATGACGGTGGTGGTGGTGGTGATGACGGTGGTGGTGATGACGGTGATGATGATGACGACGGTGGTAGTGCTGATGATGATGACGGTGATGATGATGACGGTGGTGGTGATGACGGTGGTGATGACGGTGATGATGATGACGGTGGTGGTGGTGATGACGGTGATGATGATGACAGCGGTGGTGATGATGATGACAGCGGTGGTGGTGATGGTGGTGATGACGGTGATGATGATGACAGCGGTGGTAGTGGTGATGATGATGACGGTGATGATGATGACGGTGGTGGTGGTGATGACGGTGATGATGACGACGTTGGTGATGATGATGACGGTGGTGATGATGATGACGGTGATGACGATGGTGGTGGTGATGATGATGATGACGGTGGTGGTGCTGATGACGGTGGTGATGATGACGGTGGTGGTGGTGATGACGGTGGTGATGATGACGGTGGTGGTGATGACGGTGGTGATGATGACGGTGGTGGTGATGACGGTGGTGGTGGTGATGACGGTGGTGGTGATGACGGTGATGATGATGACGACGGTGGTAGTGGTGATGATGATGACGGTGATGATGATGACGGTGGTGGTGGTGATGACGGTGATGATGATGACAGCGGTGGTAGTGGTGATGATGATGACGGTGATGATGATGACGGTGGTGGTGATGACGGTGGTGGTGGTGATGACGGTGATGATGATGACGACGGTGGTAGTGGTGATGATGATGACGGTGATGATGATGACGGTGGTGGTGGTGATGACGGTGATGATGATGACAGCGGTGGTAGTGGTGATGATAATGACGGTGATGATGATGACGGTGGTGGTGGTGATGACGGTGATGATGACGACGGTGGTGATGATGATGACGGTGGTGATGATGATGACGGTGATGACGATGGTGGTGGTGATGATGATGATGACGGTGGTGGTGCTGATGACGGTGGTGATGATGACGGTGGTGGTGGTGATGACGGTGGTGGTGATGATGATGATGATGGCGGTGGTGGTGATAATGACGGTGGTGATGATGATGGTGGTGGTGATGACGGTGGTGATGATGATGACGGTGGTGGTGATGACGGTGATGATGACGTTGGTGATGATGACGACGGTGATGATGATGACGACGGTGGTGGTGATGACGGTGGTGGTGACGGTCATGACGGTGGTGGTGACGACGGTGATGATGACGGTGGTGGTGGTGATGACGGTGGTGGTGATGACGGTGGTGGTGACGGTGGTGGTGGTGATGACGGTGGTGGTGACGGTGGTGGTGGTGATGACGGTGGTGGTGACGGTGATGACGGTGGTGGTGACGACGGTGATGATGACGGTGGTGGTGACGGTGGTGGTGGTGATGACGGTGGTGATGATGACGGTGGTGGTGATGACGGTGATGATGACTACGGTGGTGATAATGACGGTGGTGGTGGTGATGACGGTGGTGGTGGTGATGACGGTGATGATGACGACGGTGGTGATGATGACGGTGGTGGTGGTGATGACGGTGGTGTTGGTGATGATGGTGGTGGTGATGACGGTGGTGATGATGACGGTGGTGGTGATGACGGTGGTGATGATGATGGTGGTGATGATGACGGTGGTGATAATGACGGTGGTGATGATGACGGTGGTGATGATGACGGTGGTGATGATGACGGTGGTGGTGATGACGGTGGTGATGATGATGGTGGTGATGATGATGGTGGTGGTGATGACGGTGGTGATGATGACGGTGGTGGTGATGACGGTGGTGATGATGATGGTGGTGATGATGACGGTGGTGATGATGACGGTGGTGATAATGACGGTGGTGATGATGATGACGGTGGTGATGATGACGGTGGTGGTGATGACGGTGGTGGTGATGACGGTGGTGGTGATGACGGTGGTGATGATGATGGTGGTGATGATGATGGTGGTGATGATGATGGTGGTGGTGATGACGGTGGTGATGATGACGGTGGTGGTGATGACGGTGGTGATGATGACGGTGGTGATGATGATGGTGGTGGTGATGACGGTGGTGATGATGACGGTGGTGATGACGGTGGTGGTGATGACGGTGGTGATGATGACCGTGGTGGTGATGACGGTGGTGGTGGTGATGACGGTGGTGGTGGTGGTGATGACGGTGGTGGTGATGACGGTGATGATGATGACGACGGTGGTAGTGCTGATGATGATGATGGTGATGATGATGACGGTGGTGGTGATGACGGTGGTGATGACGGTGATGATGATGACGGTGGTGGTGGTGATGACGGTGATGATGATGACAGCGGTGGTGATGATGATGACAGCGGTGGTGGTGATGGTGGTGATGACGGTGATGACGATGACAGCGGTGGTAGTGGTGATGATGATGACGGTGATGATGATGACGGTGGTGGTGGTGATGACGGTGATGATGACGACGGTGGTGATGATGATGACGGTGGTGGTGATGACGGTGGTGGTGATGACGGTGGTGATGATGATGGTGGTGATGATGATGGTGGTGATGATGATGGTGGTGGTGATGACGGTGGTGATGATGACGGTGGTGGTGATGACGGTGGTGATGATGACGGTGGTGATGATGATGGTGGTGGTGATGACGGTGGTGATGATGACGGTGGTGATGACGGTGGTGGTGATGACGGTGGTGATGATGACCGTGGTGGTGATGACGGTGGTGGTGGTGGTGATGACGGTGGTGGTGGTGGTGATGACGGTGGTGGTGATGACGGTGATGATGATGACGACGGTGGTAGTGCTGATGATGATGACGGTGATGATGATGACGGTGGTGGTGATGACGGTGGTGATGACGGTGATGATGATGACGGTGGTGGTGGTGATGACGGTGATGATGATGACAGCGGTGGTGATGATGATGACAGCGGTGGTGGTGATGGTGGTGATGACGGTGATGATGATGACAGCGGTGGTAGTGGTGATGATGATGACGGTGATGATGATGACGGTGGTGGTGGTGATGACGGTGATGATGACGACGTTGGTGATGATGATGACGGTGGTGATGATGATGACGGTGATGACGATGGTGGTGGTGATGATGATGATGACGGTGGTGGTGCTGATGACGGTGGTGATGATGACGGTGGTGGTGGTGATGACGGTGGTGATGATGACGGTGGTGGTGATGACGGTGGTGATGATGACGGTGGTGGTGATGACGGTGGTGGTGGTGATGACGGTGGTGGTGATGACGGTGATGATGATGACGACGGTGGTAGTGGTGATGATGATGACGGTGGTGGTGGTGATGACGGTGATGATGATGACAGCGGTGGTAGTGGTGATGATGATGACGGTGATGATGATGACGGTGGTGGTGATGACGGTGGTGGTGGTGATGACGGTGATGATGATGACGACGGTGGTAGTGGTGATGATGATGACGGTGATGATGATGACGGTGGTGGTGGTGATGACGGTGATGATGATGACAGCGGTGGTAGTGGTGATGATAATGACGGTGATGATGATGACGGTGGTGGTGGTGATGACGGTGATGATGACGACGGTGGTGATGATGATGACGGTGGTGATGATGATGACGGTGATGACGATGGTGGTGGTGATGATGATGATGACGGTGGTGGTGCTGATGACGGTGGTGATGATGACGGTGGTGGTGGTGATGACGGTGGTGGTGATGATGATGATGATGGCGGTGGTGGTGATAATGACGGTGGTGATGATGATGGTGGTGGTGATGACGGTGGTGATGATGATGACGGTGGTGGTGATGACGGTGATGATGACGGTGGTGATGATGACGACGGTGATGATGATGATGACGGTGGTGGTGATGACGGTGATGATGACGACGGTGGTGATGATGATGACGGTGGTGATGATGATGACGGTGGTGATGACGACGGTGGTGATGATGATGACGGTGGTGATGACGATGGTGGTGATGATGATGACGGTGGTGATGACGACGGTGGTGATGATGATGACGGTGGTGATGACGACGGTGGTGATGATGATGACGGTGATGATGATGATGACGGTGGTGATGATGATGATGGTGGTGATGATGACGGTGGTGATGGTGGTGATGATGACGGTGGTGATGATGATGATGACGGTGGTGATGATGACGACGGTGATGATGATGATGACGGTGGTGATGATGACGGTGGTGATGATGATGACGGTGGTGATGACGACGGTGGTGATGATGACGACGGTGATGATGATGATGGCGGTGGTGATGATGACTGGTGGTGTCGCGTGCGGTGCAGGCTCTGGCGGGCATACTGGACACGAACGCCTTCCTGGACCGATTCCACAACTACATCCTCCCTCGCCTCCGCGGGGAGGACCGCGTGTGCCACTGCGTGTGCGGGAGGTGGGAAACTAGCGCACAGACTCGCACAACATACACGTTACACACAACATGCACACAACATGCAACATACACACAACCTTCAACATACAAATTACATACAACATATAAATTACATACAAAATGCTAATGACAAACAACATACTCACAATATAAACATTGTATACGACACAAGCAACATGCAAAATACACACAACATATACACAACAAACACATAGAGACATGCACACAAAACATCCACGCACGCAATATGCACACCGTGCGTATAAACACGTATGTATGTTGAACTTTCTTCGCACCGTACGTAGCCAACCAACCACGCTAATCGGAGGTCTTCTCGGCCACAGCGATGCCCTTCCCTCCCTTCTCTATGTTTGCGAAACGTGGAGCCTTTTAAAGGAGTCTAACACGCAATACGAGTTGGCTATAGCGACCAATATTATTAGATCGCATAAATATAAATGCGTCGCTAAACTCGGCCACCACGTAGTCTTAAAGTGCACCTTTGAAAGAAACACGTGCGCCGGTTAGAAACATTCAAGCTGCCCTATCTACGATCCGTCCTGGGTTGAACCAGGCTGGATTGTGTGCGGAGCGCACAGATCCTTTAAAGATCTGAACAAAGTCCCATCGGTGAGCTCCTCCGGCAGGCAAGGCTGCGTTGGTTGGGTCATGTAGCCCGCATGCCCAGCCACCGCATGCCCAAGCAGCTTCTGTTTGGCTGGGTAGAGGGGGCTAAACGGGCTCGGCACGGGCTGGAGAAGAGATGGAGTGATGCGGTTCAGGAGGAAGTGGAGCTGAGTGGACTTGCCGATGACTGGTACCAGCGGTGTTAAGGTCGGCCTCGATGGAGGCTCGTGAAGGACGCTACTGGTCAGTTGGCGGCAGTCGCCCTCCAACAACAACGGAGGGCGGAGGAGCGACGCTCACAACAACGAGCGGAGCGCCGGGTGGATAAAATGCAGCGAGGTGGCACAGCGGGCAGCACAGGTAGTGCATCTGCCGGTCATTTCAATCAGACAACGCATGGCACCTGGGTCTGTCCCATGACCTCCTCCCAGCATCGAGTCTTCCACACTTTACGTGGCCTCAAAGTGCACCTAGCATGGCACAAGCACTCTGGTGGCATCACTGCCACTTCGTAGGAAATGTAAGCAGTAGAATACTGCTTATATATCTGTCTGTGTATGATCAAATATCCCTGTGTGCATATCAGCAGGGGTGTGAGCAGTGTTGCAGTGGCTAGCGCACTGCGCTACGAACCCCGTACCCTCAGTTAGATTCCCGCTCACGGTGAACATAAGTGATGAATATCTGAACCGGTCCTGGGCCTTCCCTAGGTCGACTCAGCCTCAACTGAGTACCTGTTGCAGTGTATGTAAATATCGCCACGGGAGAGACAAAGGTGGCTGGGCGTGGTGCTGACCACCCACCCCCTCGTGCGCCATGCCGGCCTTCATTAGGTGCTGCTCACTAACAGCACTTGCCCCAACAGTCTGTTACAGGCTACACGGGGGATCTTTGTCTTGTTTCTTTCCTATTGTGATGGCAATGCGGCGGTGGTCGCTAAATGTCTGCTAAGGCAATTTCGGGGGGTCTTTTATCTTTGCCCGCAGTCGTTCCCCGAAGACCAATCACACGCCCTCCTCCGTCCCCGTCCGTCAGCTGATGATGCACATCCACAAATTGACGCGTGCAGCGCAGCCTCGTTTGCATATAGATGAGGAATAATTGGCCGGATAAGGGAGAGGGGACAAAACAAATCCATTCCTCGTCTCGGAAGGGGATGACAAAGACAAAGACCCCCCCACCGCCCCCGATATAGCCTCAAAGGTTTTTGCGTTGTGCGGCAAGTGAGTTAGCGGGCGGAATCGTCGAAGGGGAGACGGATTTCACGGTGGCCCATCCGGCAGGCCCCGGCGAGACTCCCACCGGCACCATCCCAAGTCGTGCGGCCACCGAGCGAGCCACCAGCGAGACATCGGCACGCTCAGATTTACACGGCGCGGAGAGAAAAACAATTATGACATGAAAATCTCAATTTTGGAGCTTTCGTGACTGCAGGAATTATTCTTTGGTTCTTTCGGTTAAGTCACGTATCTGCCGATACGTGTTCTCTCTCTGTGTGTGTCTTTGTGATGTCTGTCTGCTTGTGTGTCTGTCTATAGTTTTCTGGTTAGATTTTTGTTGCTATTTCTTTCTTTTATGCCTGATGATGATTGCTTGTGCTGCAGTCGAAACGTCGTAGTATGCTATTATGTAATTTATTGTTTTATCTTTATACGTGACTTAACCGAAAGAACCAAAGAATTATGACATGACCCAACCCCCCGACCCACCGCCACCGCCGTCCCCCCCCCCCCTCAACTCGTCACGTCATCCCGGTTAGGGTGGACCGACCGCAAATCATCGGCCGGACAACAACAAACAACAAAAATGTATGCTGCTAAATGATGAATCATCCCGGCGCACGGGACATGCCCCCTCCGTTGTCGGCCCAATTTGCCGACGAGGGTTGGTCAACTATTGATTCGTTCGGGTGTTCGTTCGTCGGAGCGATCGACCCGGCTTGGTTTGAAATGCAGGCGGTGCTTCAACAAACAATGTGAACACTTCTGAGGATTTGCAACAATACCGCCTCCCGGCTCTGGAGACCACCTGGAGAAGATTCCAGGCCACGTGCCGACAACGATGGCGATCGAGTGGGAGACCCATTGACTTTTTAACATTACATTTGTTAATTGTTTTTTTTACCCTTCTATCTGGCAACAAAACTGACACCTTTTTTACAAGGAGTCATGTTTGCATAGACCACAATACCTGCAGTCATAATTGGCGTCATCTGGTCCAACCCATGTGAGACTAGGCTCTAAGGAAAGCTGTCTCGGGTGTGGACCAATCAACTTCAAGGACAGTGCATATATTATCAGAGTTATGTTTTTTGTTTGCATTATGGCTGCAGGTATTGTGGTCTATGCAAACACGACTCCTTGTAAAAAATGGTGTCAGTTTTGTTGCCAGATAGAAGGGTAAAAAAACAATTATCATATTTTTTACTGGCAAATGAGGTTCCAATGGTGGATTACATTTGTTATCATGTTACAGTGCATTCATATCTGTTCTTCTTCCATTAAAAACGACAGTCCCATGTAAGTGTTAACATTTTTTTGAGGCACCCTCAATCAGCTCACCTCGTCATTAAATAGATCAGCTAACGCGGTGTATCTCGATTAGCTATTGCCTGGTCACATAAACGTTGTTACGTGATCATCTCATTCTTTGGTTCTTTCAGTTAAGTCACGTCTAAAGATAAAATAATAAATTATTTTAATCTTTAGACGTGACTTAACCGAAAGAACCAAAGAATTATTCCTGCAGTCACGAAAGCTCCAAAATTAAGAGTGATCATCTCAATTAGATACACCCTGGTGAAATACATTACCAAAGCAGGAAATGCCTTGCTAGCCTCTGCTGTACCGTTCCACGTGGCCCCACCACGCACGCACAGCGCAACGTTTGATTGACCGATCGACTGATCGAACGAACGAATCGATGAAGGTGGTCGACAGTGGTGAGCGGAAGGGTGGGGGTGTGACGTCACGCGACGTTGGTGAGCTGCAGGAGGAGATGGAGTGATGCTCTCGAAACCCGTTCCTAAGTTCCGCGAGGTTCCAGATCGAGAACTCACTTCCTCAGAACTCGTTTTGGTGTTCAGATTGTTGTCCTTCCGATTGGCACGGTTGGCTACGTACGGTGCGAAAGAAGTTCAACGTGCATAGGTGCTCGTTGACAGCTCTTGCCCCAGCAGCCTGTTCAAGGCTATATAGGTGATATTTGTCTTTGTGTGTGGAAAGTGCCTCCCACCAACAAAATTAAACAAAATTTCGATTTAAAGCTTTCGTGACTGCAGGGATTCATCTTCTTGGTTCTTTCGGTAAAGTCACGTAGAAGGGAAGTAATAAAATAATAAAAATGAAACATAATAATAAAACGTCGTGAGAATTATTTCATTATGTTTTATTTTTATTATTTTATTACTTCCCTTCTACGCGACTTTACCGAAAGAACCAAGAAGAAAAAACTAAACTACTTTTTTGCCAGGTAAGGACCCATTCAGCTGCTGTGTAGCTCTTTTTCAGAAGCAACCTAGCCACCACGAATGATAGCTCAATTGCTTATCATCATGCGGAAATGTATAGCAGACAAATACTCTATAAATACTCTCTAAACGCGTGACGTTCATTCTAAATGTGGAGAGGGGAAACCGGAGGACCCGGAGAAAAAAGTCCGCGCGACCACGGGGAGAGAGAGAGACACGCAGACTCCAAATAAACAGCAGGCATCAGGGTTGGAATCCAACCCACGACCTCCTGTAGACCAGGCGAGGTAGTTAACATCTCCTAGCCACCATGATGATGATGAGAGAGAAAGACACGCAAACTCCAAATATACAGCAGCAGGCGTCAGGGTCGAGACCGAACCCACGGCCTCCTGTAGACCAGGCGAGGTAGTCAACATCTCACCACGGGGAGAGAGAGAGACACGCAAACTCCAAACACACAGCAGGCATCGTCAGGGTCGTGATCGAACCCACGACCTCCTGTACACCAGGCGAAGTAGTCAACATCTCACCACGGGGAGAGAGATAGAGACACCGCAAACTCCAAACACACAGCAGGCATCGTCAGGGTCGTGATCGAACCCACGACCTCCTGCATACCAGGCGAGATAGTTAACATTTCCTAGCCACCGTGATGTTCATGAGAGAGAGAGAGGAGACACGCAAACTCCAAACACACAGCAGGCATCGTCAGGGATCGTGATCGAACCCACGAACTCAGGGTCGTGATCGAACCCACGACCTCCTGCATACCAGGCGAGATAGTTAACATTTCCTAGCCACCGTGATGTTCATGAGAGAGAGAGAGAGAGACACGCAAACTCCAAACACACAGCAGGCATCGTCAGGGTCGTGATCGAACCCACGACCTCCTGCATACCAGGCGAGATAGTTAACATCTCCTAGCCACCGTGATGTTCATGAGAGAGAGACACGCAAACTCCAAACACACAGCAGGCATCGTCAGGGTCGTGATCGAACCCACGACCTCCTGTACACCAGGCGAGGCAGCCAACATCTCACCACCGCGGCACCTCTCGCCCCCCCCCCCCTCCCCGCCGTTCCGTGTGGTGCACGCAGGCACCATGTGCACTACGTGGTGCCGTACGCGGGCGACAGCGCAGAGGTGCATAGCCCTGACGGCTACGCGGTGACTCCGGCGCTGAGCAAGCAGGAGGTGGATCTGCTGCTGGGACTCACCCTGGGTCTGGGCATCAGCTGGCTCTTGCTGTGGCTCGACCGGCGCCTCACCGACGCACAGCTCCGACAGCTCGCCGGTACCGCTCGCAACGAATTTCAACGTTTGTATTTGAGTCTAGATTTGAAGCTTTCGTGACTGCAAGGATTCATATTCTTAGGTTTTTTCGGTAAAGTCACGTAGGTAAAACATTAAAATTAATGAAAGTAAAATAAAATAAAAATCCGAAACGTCGTGATTTTTATTTTATTTTACTTTCATTAATTTTAATGTTTTACCTACGTGACTTTACCGAAAAAACCTAAGAATAAGTTTGTATTTTTAGTCGTTTCGATGCGGGTGCCGGACCGCCTGGTGGATATGCGTCGTTTTGTGGTTCCGCTCGATCGACGAGCTGTCAGCGTCGTCGCGATCCCACCGTGGGCCGATCATCGCGGAGGTGTCCACTGCACATTTCGTCGTCGTCGTTTTTTTTGTTGTTTACACGTTCAATCTCTCGCTCTCTGCCTCTGTCTTGTCGTGCCAATATGCTCGAGTCGCGGCCACGTCTTTCCGGCACCGATCTCGTGTATGACGACGTTTCAAGTTTTCAAGTTTCATTTATTAGGTATAGCCTTGTGAGCCATTCGGCTCTTGAATCGGGTGCAACCGCAACAAACAAAAAAACTAAAACATGAACAAGAAAACATCTCCAAGTGACTATGTGCAAACAGAAAATCCAAGAAAAGACTGCAAAATATTGCAGAAAAAGCACCGTACACCAACCCTGTGTGAAAAAATCCCAGTGGGACGTCGTCGTCGTCGTCCTCGAAGCTGTTCTCTGTCAGGTCTTCCTCTCTTTCCTGTTCCCAGTGCCGGATTAAGCTAGTTTTGGGGCTTGTAGCACATGCTATAAGGGGCCCTAATAAACATAAATATTAAAACACATTTTTTTTTTACTTGCATAGTAAAGTAATTATATTTTTTCATTTGCTATACAGCCAGATAATATGACAAATCGCTAGCCTTGAACACGCAGTCGAAGGCGGTATAGTACTATAGTAATAGAGCAAGTGCAGAATCATTGAACCGGAATTGATAACTTGAAAGCATTTAGCGCGGGGCCCTTGAAAGTGCGGGGCCCGTAGCTATACACATGTAGCTACTACACGTGTAGCTACCACACATGTAGCTACTACACATGTAGCTACTACACATGTAGCTACTACACATGTAGCTACTTCTGCTACTAGGATAATCTGGCACTGCCTGCTCCTTCCATTTGTTTCGAACAGCAGCATCACATTTCATGTTCCTATAGTTGTGCACCCTACACGTGCGTCCAAAACGAACTACATGTGATTGACTAAATTGTCCCACAGATGGATTTACCGATTGAATAATTAACTCGTTTGCTGATTGATGCGCTGTTCATTTGACGGATCGATGGCGCATATTCTGAACTAATTGACTTACTGATGAACTGAGTGACTCGTGGATTGACTAGGGCCACTAGGCCGTCCGTCGTTTTGTGTTGGAACGGAGCGTACACCGCGCGTGATTCACGAGTGACCCAGACTCGCGGCTCAACACGCTTGCAAGGGCGCCCCCAGTGGCAGCTTTCCCTGCGCGGTGACCAGCTACGTGGCCTCGTTTTTTGTCGGACGGGATACTTTTTTCTTCTTGGTTCTTTCGGTAAAGTCACGTAGAAGGGAAGTAATAAAATAATAAAAATAAAACGTAATAAAATAATTCTCACGACGTATCGGTCACAACGCAAGCAGCCGTCCTCCCCGACAGACCTGTCCTTCACCTGAGGACGGCTGCTTGCGTTGTGGCCGAAACGTGAGAATAATTTAATGTATTATTTTTATTATTTTATTATTTCCCTTCCACGTGATTTTACCGAAAGAACCAAGAAGATGAATCCCTGCAGTCACGAAAGCTTTAAATCGGGAAACTTTTTGTGTCTGTCCCCCGCCGTCGATGCCGGGTCGCGGTGGACTGCGTATCCTTGTTACGGTTTTTGCCAACGGCGGCGTGACAGCGCCGCGTCCACCGGTACGAGGAGAGACGAGCAAAGACGGCGCATTCGGATTTGCAGATGTCTTGGAGGAATGTGGGAGAGGCACGGTGATGCTGCCGCCGCTGCTGCTGCTTCTGCTGCTGTGCCCCTCGCCCCGCACGGAGACAGCTGCCGCTGGGGGTGCCCAACCGCTTCTCATCTCATCCTACACACCGCACGGGCAGGGGGGGGGGCGCTTGCCATCTCTTTATTCTGCCCCATCTCCCCCCTCTCCTCCCCGATCCCCCCCCCCACCTCCCCCCTCCTCCATCCTCCCCCTCTTCCCCCTCCTCCCTGATCCCCCCCCCCCCGCCGCCTCTTCACCTCCCTACCCCCTCCTCCTCGTCCCTCCTCCCTTCTCCTCCATCCCTCTCCACCTCCCCTATCCTCCCTCACCATCCTCCCCCCTCCTCCCCCCTCCTCCTCCCTCCCCCTCCCCCGTGTGAGTAGCCGAGGCGTGGCGATGGCTCTCCTGCCGCTTCACCCCCAAGCGCCGCTCCGTGGGTGGCGGCGGCAGCAGTGTCGGTGTCGGCCGGCGGCACCGCTACCACGCGTTCCCCCGCGACGACGATGACGACGACGAGGAGGACGACTCGGCGGGCGCCGGGCTGCTCGTGCCCGCCGGGGCGGGAGGAGGAGGAGGTGGAGGAGGAATAGGAGGAGGAATCGGAGGAGTGGGAGCAGGAGGAGGAGTATTGGCGCCCGCCGGGAACGCGTTAGGGCACGGCCACACGCACGCCCAGCAGCAGCAGCAGCAGCACGGCGCCCACGCTGGCCACGAGAACTCGATGCACTTCAAGCCGCGGCTCTGCCACCACAACGGCCACGCGGCCACTGGCAAGCGGCTCTGAGCCACGCGCCACGGCAGCAGCAGCAGGAGGAGGAGGAGGAGGAAGAGGAGGAGCAGGAGGAGATGCGCTCGTCTGGGAACGGCGAGGTGGGGAGGTGGTGTTGGATCAGGAGGTAGTGGAGGTGATGGTGGAGATTGGGAAAGTGGTGAAAATGGTGGAGGTAATGGTGGAAGAGGTGGTGAAGGTGGTGGTTGTTGGTGGCGGTGACGGCGATGGAATGTAGTGGCTACGGCAGTCGTGGGCATGGTGGTGGAGGTGGAGGTAAAGGTGAAGATGGTCGTTGTGATGGTGGAAGAGGTGGAGGGTGAGATACAGTTGGTGGTGTTGGTAGTAAAGGTGATGATGTTGGAGGTGGTGTCGGTGGCGGTGATGGTAGCAGTGGTGAAGGAGCGAGGGGAGGTGGTGGTGATGATGGAGGAGGGGGGGGGGTGCTAATGGTGGTAGCAGAATGTGAAGGTCGTCAAGGAGATGGTGGAGCTGACGTTGGTAATTGTGGTGGTGGTGGTGGAGGGGGAAATGATGAAGGAGATTTTTGGTGGAAATTGATGAGATATTGGAGAAGGTAGAGGAGGAGGGGGGGGGGGATTGGAGATGGATGAGGTGACGGTGGTGGTAACATGGCAGAGGTGGTGGTGGCAGTGGCGTTGTGTGGTTAGATAACGGTGTCGGTGGCTATAGTCGGTGGGTAGCGGGGATTGTCGTTGTACGGAGCGGAGGTGGAGGCATCTGTTGGCAATTGGTCGAGGAGCTGGTGGCAGTGGCCACTGAGCTGGTAGTAGTCGTGGTGGCGGTGGTGCGCTGTGTTACAGTTGGGTCAGGTTTCAGTTCCATACACGTCTCCTGGACATCTGTGGAACATTTTGGACGTCTGTGGAGAAAAGGAGCATCATAGGCTCGTGGGATTGCTCCAGTATGAATCAATAGAGAGACTCCTCGACTTACGAACTAGTTAGGTTTTAGAAGTCTGTTCGTAAGTCGATTTTTTTCGTAAGTCCAACTTTACTCCTGTCGATTCCAAACACATTGTGCGGCGTGTACACAAAACACGGGGAATGGCTTTAAAAGTTGTATAATCCCCTGTAGATGTCGATGCCACTGGTTCTTCACGTTCTGTAGATGTAGATGCCACTGGTTCTTCACATTCTGTAGATGCCACCGGTTCTTCACGTTATGCAGATGTTGATGCCACTGGTTCTTCACGTTCTGCAGATGTAGATGCCACTGGTTCTTCACGTTCTGCAGATGTAGATGCCACCGGTTCTTCACGTTCTGCAGATGTAGATGCCACCGGTTCTTCACTTTCTGCAGATGTAGATGCCACCGGTTCTTCACGTTCTGCAGATGTAGATGCCACTGGTTCTTCACATTCTGTAGATGTAGATGCCACCGGTTCTTCACGTTCTGCAGATGTAGATGCCACTGGTTCTTCACGTTCTGCAGATGTAGATGCCACCGGTTCTTCACGTTCTGCAGATGTAGATGCCACCGGTTCTTCACGTTCTGCAGATGTAGATGCCACTGGTTCTTCACGTTCTGCAGATGTAGATGCCACCGGTTCTTCACGTTCTGCAGATGTAGATGCCACCGGTTCTTCACGTTCTGCAGATGTAGATGCCACCGGTTCTTCACGTTCTGCAGATGTAGATGCCACTGGTTCTTCACGTTCTGCAGATGTAGATGCCACTGGTTCTTCACGTTCTGCAGATGTAGATACCACTGGTTCTTCACGTTCTGCAGCCGTAGATGCCACTGGTTCTTCACGTTCTGCAGATGTAGATGCCACTGGTTCTTCACGTTCTGCAGATATAGATGCCACCGGTTCTTCACGTTCTGCAGATGTAAATGCCACTGGTTCTTCACGTTCTGCAGATGTAGATGCCACTGGTTCTTCACGTTCTGCAGATGTAGATGCCACTGGTTCTTCACGTTCTGCAGATGTAGATGCCACTGGTTCTTCACGTTCTGCAGATATAGATGCCACCGGTTCTTCACGTTCTGCAGATGTAAATGCCACTGGTTCTTCACGTTCTGCAGATGTAGATGCCACTGGTTCTTCACGTTCTGCAGATGTAGATGCCACCGGTTCTTCACGTTCTGCAGATGTAGATGCCACTGGTTCTTCACGTTCTGCAGATGTAGATGCCACTGGTTCTTCACGTTCTGCAGATGTAGATGCCACCGGTTCTTCACGTTCTGCAGATGTAGATGCCACTAGTTCGTCACGTTCTGCAGATGTAGATGCCACTGGTTCTTCACGTTCTGCAGATTGAGATGCCACCGGTTCTTTGCGTTCTGCAGATGTAGATGCCACCGGTTCTTCACGTTCTGCAGATGTAGATGCCACCGGTTCTTCACGTTCTGCAGATGTAGATGCCACTGGTTCTTCACGTTCTGCAGATGTAGATGCCACCGGTTCTTCACGTTCTGCAGATGTAGATGCCACCAGTTCTTCACGTTCTACAGATGTAGATGCCACTGGTTCTTCACGTTCTGCAGATGTAGATGCCACTAGTTCTTCATGTTCTGCAGATGTAGATGCCACCGGTTCTTCACATTCTGCAGATATAGATGCCACTGGTTCTTCACGTTCTGCAGATGTAGATGCCACTGGTTCTTCGCGTTCTGCAGATGTAGATGCCACTGGTTCTTCACGTTCTGCAGATGTAGATGCCACTGGTTCTTCACGTTCTGCAGATGTAGATTCCACTGATTCTTCACGTTCTGCAGATGTAGATGCCACTGGTTTTTCACGTTCTGCAGATGTAGATGCCACCACCGCCATCTGTTGCGCGGCGGTTGAACTTTCGATCCGAACAGGCAACTTGACATACAGACAGGTCTGTTCGTATCTCTGAAAGTTCATAAGTCGAATGTTTATAAGCAGAGGAGTCCCTGTAGTCTGATTCTGAGTTGTGGACACAGCGGAAGAGGTGGTGGTAACGTGTGTTAACGTCGGTAGAGGTGGTCCTGTGTTGAAGATGTATTTAGGTGCTAGTGGTTGAGTAAATGGTGGCGATCATAACGACGGGAGTTTGGTGATGGGAGGGAGGTTGTGGTGGTGATGATGCAGTTGTGGGTACCTCTGGTGGTGGTGTCGTTACAGCTGACAGTGGTGATGACGATGGTGGTGGTGGTGGTGGTTAGGGATGTCGTGATAAATCTATCAATGAACAAATTCAAGTCCCAAATCGCACGGCGCACGGGTAGAATAAGTCATCACCGACATCTGCAATGGTCAATCCACTGCTGGATGAATTCATCCACGCGTGTAGAGAATCAATATGTTGAAAATCACTCTGTTGTACGAACAGCTGCAATGATTTGATTCCGCCAGCCACTAGAGGCCACGACTTTCACCATGGGATTTGACTAATATATATATACTCTGAATCGAATCACGACCCTGAATCAGGACAAATACTTGAATCATGGGGTTGGGGAATTATTGGTGGAGGTGATGCAGGTGATGAAACAGCTGTTATCGTTGCTGCTGCTGCTATAGCAGCTTCCGAGATTGTTGGTGGTGATGTTGGTGATGATGGTGATGATGGTCGCTGCGATGGTGATGGAGGAGGTGAGAGGTGGGAATGGTACTGTTGGCACCGGTATTGATGGTGGCTCTGGTGGTGGTGGTGTGGATGGTGGTGGTGATGATGATGCTGCTGCTGACGATGGTGGTGGCACAGCTGATGATGTTGGCCATGCTAGTTGGTGATGGTGTGGCTGCTGCTGCTGCTGGTGATGGATGGTGCTTGCTGGCGATGATTGTGCTGCTGCTGATAATGATGGTGGAGGTGGCACAGCTGATGGTGTTGGTCGTGCCAGTGGCGGCAGCGGTGGTGATGGTGCAGGTGATATCGGTAGTGAGATGGTGTATGCCCGCTGGTGACTGCGGTGCTGGTGGTCACGTGGCACATCCTCCATCCATAGCCAGCTGCCCGTCCGCGTGGCACCGCCTTCACCACCACAGTCGTGAGCGAGCGAGCGTGCGTGAGCGTGTCAGCGTGTTTGACAGTGGGAGAGGCGAAGTTGGAGGGAGCGTGTTTACATTTTCATTGCATATCATGCCCATAAACCGTGCCATACCTCACTTATTGAGAGAATGTGAAATCATCCCATCGTCATCATCATCCGATTAGCACGGTTGGCTGCGTACGGTGCGAAAGAAGTTCAACATGCATCACCATTGCCGCGTCGAACAAGAAGGGACTGGTGCAAAATGAATCCCATCGTATCGTGTGGCCATCGGCAACATCATCACCGTCTTCGCCAACTTTGCCATCATCGTCATCATTTACACACCAATGTCGTTGCCAACACCATCGCCAAGTGCGCCAACGTGAATCGTCCTCTTCGCCGACATCCATCGCCACCGCGATCGGCAACAACAACAAAAGTATCGACCGTCATCTTCGCCACCACCACCACCGCCGCCTCACCACTTCTCTTCTCTTCTTCTCCCGTCGCCAATGACGGCCCAGCGGCGCGTCACCACGCGGCTGGGATTTGTTTCGCTTTGGGAGGTTTTTTTTCTTTTTTTTTAATAAGTAACCTCTCGCCGAACGCCGAACCGCTGAGCGATCGGCGACGAGGATTGATCCTGCGGACAAAGTGGAGGCAATGGCCCCGCGAGCATCATCATCAGCAGCATCAGCAGCAGCAAGAGTAGCGTGACCCCCACAGTAGCCGCGCGGTGGGTGGTCGAGCGGGCCAGGGGGGACGCAGAGGGCACAACGATCGGAGGGCGAGCGAGGAAAGATCCGCGAGACCGAACGGACGCCCGGTGCATGACGACGTGGAGCCGTCGAGAGGGAGATGCTGCGAGGGATGATGACGCTTCGAGAGCGCAGAGAGAGAGAGCGAGCGGTGAGGAGGGAGGACCCCATCGCTTGAAACGCGTTATCCAAATGATTTTTTTTTCGTCTTCAAAAATAATTTCCAGCGCTGGAAAGAAAGAAGAGAGCGTGGAATGCACGTAGCCTAAACCACGGATTTCGGCGGTCTCACGGGGAGGCGAAAAACTTAAAAAAATAGTGCGTGATGTTAACGCAGGCACCGCCAGACTGACGGACGGACGGAGGGACGGACGCGGGGGGTAGTCTTTGTCCTCGGTGTCTTGCGTGTGGTGTCTGCAAGTGGGACAACAGATTCGGAGGGTCGAGTGAGTGGAGGAAAGACAGCGGGGAAGAGCGAGGGAAGAAGACGAAGATGATTGTGTTGTTGTTGTTCTCGGAAAGGGCGGCGGTGCTGAATTGCCAAACGATGTTTGGATGTCGGAAACAAAATGTCGAACTTTAGTACTTTTGATTTGGAAAGGTTTTTGTTGTTGTTGTTGATGATGATGTTGATTTTTTTCCCCCCAATCCGCACGAAAGAAAATGCGGAATTCCCGAGTCAGCATTTAGCAGCAGCAGCAGCGGGTGGATGGATGATGATGCATTTGAAACGAAATAGAAGTGGGATAAAAACACGGACGTTATTTATTTTATATTACGAGGCCGTCGTGTAACCAAGCGTACGTGTAGAATGTTGTCCCTGGATCGCGTTCCGGCATCGGCGCCCTAACGAACTCCCTGTTTTATTTGCGGTGGTAGTGATGGGTGGGGGTAAATAAACAAGTAAAGTTATAATAAATAATAATAACCGCTGCGACGAAACGTAAAGAAAAATATCGAAAGGCACGCATTTTTGTCCAATATTATAATTATAATTATTTCGATTTAAAGCTTTCGTGACTGCAGGGATTCATCTTCTTGGTTCTTTCGGTAAAGTCACGTAGAATGGAAATAAAAAAAATATATAATAATTTGTATTTTTATTATTTTATTATTTCCATTCTACGTGACTTTACCGAAAGAACCAAGAAGATAATTTGTATTATTTGCACAAGGCAACAGGAATGGCAGTACGCACGGTGCATCGAACCTCGCAACCCGCAAGGAGCCGGCCGTGCAAATCGGAGGTGCGGGGGGGGGGAGGTGGACGACGAACGCGATGCCGATTAGACGTTTCGGGAAGAGGGGGAACGGGGGGTGGGGGTGGTGGGGGAGGAAAAAAACGAGGAGATTGAGAAAAATTTGCGACGACGAGTTTGGGGGGTGGGGGGGTCTGAGACTGAGCGGGACTGAGACCGACCGGAGAGGGGCCTTGTCGTGGGCTGCATCTCGTCTGTTTGTAATCTTTGTTGTCGTAACGTTCTGACCCCAATGCCCCCACCGGACATCTGTGAAAAAGAGCTTTATAGCTCATCGGATTGCACCGGTATACATACATATTCTGATTCTGGGGGGGGGGCAGGAAGGGTGGGGAGGGGAAGGGCGTGGGTTTTCCACGTTCCTTCTAGATTTGAAGCTTTCGTGACTGCAATGATTCGGTAAAGTCACCACG